CTTTATTTTCAAAGATATGTATTTATACCAAATTTGTACTAAAGGCTATTTCACATCCACCTCAAAACGCTCACCACTACAATATTTTTATCATGTAATATATTATTTTTTTGGTATATCAATAAACTGATCCTGGAAATTGAGGTATGTGTACGAAAATAAGCCAATTAATATTAAGAATAGCCAAATTGTGAATATTCACCTTTAGATATTTGCATACCTCTTCACAATCAAATACCACGTTCATATATTGTATCTTCCTATTTATGATATACCATTATATTCATTATTTTTCCTATTTGTGTATCGATACAACTTTTATCACGTTTTCTCTAAACAATAAACAATCCACATAAAGAAGGTTATGGCCGTACGAAATTTTATCATCAAGCTTATAAAGAGGAGGAAGATTCATTATAAAGCTATGGTAATGGTATTATAATTGGTTTGCGGAATTCCTATATATTTATATTATAATATGTGTGACAGTTCTTTCTGATAAATTCCAAGACTGCCGATCTTGTAACAATAATCCCATTTTCTATGGCGCAGTTTAATTACTCCGTGGATAAAATGTGGTCCCAGAAAGGAAACATTTCTTGTAATAGTAAATTTTTTTAATAAATAGCGAATTTTTTTTTCTTTTCGATTTTTTAAATTCAATCCAATAATTATAATAATAAATAATTCTTATTTTACAAAATAACAATAACAACAACAATAATAATAAATGGCTATATTCGAAAACACAACTGCGTATTTAGTTGTCGCAACATTAATCATCGGCTATTATACTTATAAATGGATAATTTATCCATTATATTTATCGCCTTTATCTAAACTTCCTGGCCCTCCTCCTGACAATTTTCTGTTAGGAAGTTTCTGGAAAATGTCTAAACCAACGGTGAGAGCATGATATATATATATATATATATATATATATAACTATGTTTATATAAAAATAAAAAAAATTGACCTCCGTATTATTATATTAAATATAATAAGGGTGGAGTGGATTGGGCAGAAAAATATGGAAATATATATAAAGTTCATGGATTATTCAATCAACCAAGGGTTTATATTCTTGGCGAAAAAAATATTCAAAAAATACTTGTTAATGACGCATATACTAAATTTGGTAAAAGAAAGGAAATTCTGGGATATTTAAAAAGAATTGTTGGAGAAGGTATTTCGATGGTAACTGGTGATGTACACAAGAGACAACGTAAACTGATGAATCCATCATTCGGTCTTAATAGTATTAGGGTAAATAAAAATATTTGTATTTACATTAACAGCGGGTTTGTCTGTGTGACTAGTTACATTAATATTAATATTGATATTATTTATTTAGGAAATGATTCCAGTATTTATAAGGGTTTCTAATACATTGAAAGATCTATGGAAATATGAAATAAAGAATAGTCAAGATATTAATAATAATGATATTGATAAAAAAAGTGCAATAATTGATATTGGTCATTATATGGGAAGAGCATCTTTAGATGTTATCTGCATAACTGGTAAGTGGTTCTATAATAGAATCGAACAGACAATAAAATAATGTAATTAAAATCAATATTAACACAATTAATTATTTGATATTCAGGGTTTGATTCTGAAATAAATTCTTTGACAGGAACATCAAGACTTGCAGACTCATTAAGTGCTCTTTTTGATAATAAACATGGATCAGTGTTTCATTCACTATCATTTATTTTTCCCATATTGAGATCCTTGCCATTAAAAATAAATCAAGAAATCGAAGATGCTACGATTGAAATTGAAAAAATTACAAGGAAATTGGTTCAAGATAAATTTGATAAATTTAAAGAAGGTAAATTGGACAGCAATGATTTGGTAAGTGTTTTGGTGAAAGCTAGTTATGGACAGGAAATAGATCAAAGTGAACGAATGAGTTTTGAAGAAATAAGAAATCAGGTAATTGTTATTACAAAGGAAATGAAGGAAATGATTTTTTTATAATTATCATTATTGTTTTTTAACTAAAAAAAAAAATTTTTTCCAGATTATGACATTTTTGATAGCAGGACATGAGACAACCGGTGTTATGATGACTTGGGCATTGTATTATTTGTCCAAAGATCAAGAAATTCAGGACAAACTCAGAGAAGAAATTGTTAAAGAATTTCCTGATAAAGATTCTGAGCTAAATTTTGATCAAATCAATTCCATGGAATATTTAAATGCGGT